TTAACAATATCTAAAACTGTAGTAAATAATTAAGAAAATTCTGTTAATAATTCTAATATTTCTTAAATTTCAACAAAATTTCACAAAGTTTTATAAATTCTTTACTACGAGCAACTAAATATTAGAAAATTTGTTGATTTACAAAGAAATTGCAATTTTTACATGACTTTCAGCAAAAATTCACAAAGTTACAGTATTTTTTTAACAATATCTAAAACTGTAGTAAATAATTAAGAAAATTCTGTTAATAATTCTAAAATTTCTTAAATTTCAACAAAATTTCACAAAGTTTTATAAATTCTTTACTACGAGCAATTAAATATTATAAAATTTGTTGATTTACAAAGAAATTGCAATTATTACTTGACTTTCAATAAAAAAAATCACAAACTTTCAATATTTTATTACCACAAATATAAATAAAGTTATAAAATAGAACTTATTTTTGCTAACAAAGAAAGTCATTTAAAATATTGTTACAGGTAGTTTGTGCACCCTTTTCTTGAATACTTTAGAATCCCAAGTTAAGTGCAATAAGTCTTGTTAAAATTGTAAAACATGCAACTAATAACAGTAATAAAAGGACAAGAGTAATAATTTCTAATAATAATAGTAATAATCTTTATTAGTCACAATTGTAACCAAAAGGCTATCGACCTAAGTCTTTCCGCCTAAAATGTCTAATTTTCTTAAATTTCAGCATAAATTCGCAAAGTTTCATTACTTTTTTAACTATCTCTGAAAGTGTAGTAAATAATTAAGAAAATTCTGTTAATAATTTCAATATTTTTTAAATTTCAACAAAAATTTACAAAGTTTTGTTACTTTTTTAACAATATCTGAAATATTATTGATTGCTAAAGAGAATCATCTTGATAATTCTAATATTTGTTGAATTTCAATAAAAATTCACAAATTTTCATTACTTTTCTAACAATATCTGTAACTTTAGTGAATAATTAAGAAAACTCTATTAATAATTTCTATATTTTTTAAATTTCAACAAAAATTCGCTAAGTTCAGTACTTTTTTAACAAAATCTGTTACTTTAGTGAATAATTAAGAAAATTCTGTTAATAATTTAAATATTTCTTAAATTTCACAATGTTTCAGTACATTCGTAACAATATCTGAAACTGTAGCAAATAATTAAGAAAATTATGTTGATAATTTCAATTTTTCTTAAATTTCAGCATAAATTCACAAAGTTTTAGTACTTTTCCAACAATATCTGTAACTTTAATGAATAATTAAGAAAATTCTGTTAATAATTTCAATATTTCTTAAATTTCAACAAAAAATTACAAAGTTTTCTTACTTTTTTAATAATATCTGAAACTGAAGTAAATAATAAAGAAAATTCTGTTAATAATTCTAATATTTGTTAAATTTCAACAAAAATGCACTTTGCCCTTTGGCAATTGTTACCTTTTTAACAATATCTGAAACTTTATTGATTAATAAAGAGAATTTTATTAATAATTCTAATATTTCTTAAATTTTACAAAGATAATTACAATTAAATATCAGAAACTTTGTTGATTAACTTTTAAATTTTTACTTGATTTTCTGCAAAATAATCACAAACTTTACCACCACATAATTACATTTAAAAATAGATATTTTTATTTACTAAGAAAGAAAATAATTTGAATTTTGTTCCAGGTAGATTATTTTATTATCAGTCAACCTTTTTCTTACACACTTTTATTATATGCGAATCTCAATACAACTGTTATAAATTTTATCGTTATCGGATAACACATACAAATGGGTAAGTAAAAGTTTCGAATGTTCTTAGAATTTTATAATTTTCAATATTTGTGTTTACAGCTGCTGTTCCAAGTGTTTCATCAGACGACAGCCATAAATTAATCAAAATGTTGGCACATTCTCACTCTCTATTAACGTACGTCAAAAGCAAAAATTTAGAGATAATCAAAAACTTTAGCCCCAATAAGAAAAGTGAGTTAATCAATAGATTTTAATACAATTAAAGTAAATTTTATGTATATTTTAGAAGATCCAAGCGTACCGAAGAAGAAAAAAACTACACTCGAAGAAAACAATCAAAATATAGATAAGGAGATTGCGAAAAGAAAATTGTTGAGAAATATTTTCTGGTACAGTTCTGAATCTTCCTCTGATGACGATTCGTATTTACCAATGAACTTAACAGTTAAGAAGAAAGAGTCGCAAGATGATAAAGAGAATATCGGAACGTCGAGAAAAAGGTGAAAAAACGAAATGGAATAATTTAAAACGATGTTTTGTGATAACAACAGCAAAATTGTAGATGGATCCAAAATCTTCAAATCCGGATAAAAGGAAACCGAAATTTTTGAATCAACATATTCTCAATTTTAAACAATCGTAGTTTGATGGTTGAAATTGTTTTTTTATGGTATCTAGATGGAAATTGAACTTTAAAAAAGTTTTTGTTTTTATTCAAGAAAACGGCTGTCTCCGTTAATAAATTGAAAACAAACGAAGAAGTAATTTTTCCATAGATATCTTGTACATTTTAATTTTTACTTGTTTTCTCAATTTGTTTTTTTTTACACAGTTTTAAATTCGATGAATATTGTTAAAGAAAACTTTGTAAATTTTTGTTGAAATTTAAAAAATATTGAAATTATTAACAGAGTTTTCTGAATTATTCACTAAAGTAACAGATATTGTTAAAAAAGTAAGAAAACTTCGTGAATTTTTGTTGAAATTTAAGAAATGTTGAATAATAATTTTTAAAAAATCCAAGAAAATTAGAAATTTTTACTCTTACCCTTTTATTACTGTTATTTCTTGCATGTTTTCCAACTTCAACAAGACTAATTACACCTATTTTGAGATTCTCAGGTATTTAAGAAAAGGGTGCATAATAACAAACTACCTGTAACAATATTTTAAATTACTTTCTTTGTTAGCAAAAACAAACTTTATTTATATTTGCGGTAATAAAATAATTAAAGTTTGTGATTTTTTTTGCTGAAAGTTAAGTAAAAATTGCAATTCTGATATTTAATTGCTTGTAGTGAGGAATTTATAAAACTTTGTGAATTTTTGATGAAATTTTTAAAATGATTACTAGAATCAATAAAGTTTCAGAAATTCGTAAAAAAAAATAAAACTGAGATTTTCTTCTGAAATTTTTAAGAAATATTGAAATTATGAATATAATTTTCTTAATTATTTACTACAGTTTCAAATATTGTTAAAAAAGTAAGGAAACTTTGTGAATTTAAGCTGAAATTAATGAAATAATGAAATTATTAACAGATTTTTTTTTAAATTATTTATTACAGTTTCACATATTGTTAGAAAAGTAATGAAACTTTATGAATTTATGCTGAAATTTAAGAAAAATTTAAATTATCAACAGAATTATCATAATTATTTACTACAATTTCAGATATTGTTAAGAAAGTACTGAAACTTTGTGAATTTTTGTTGAAATTTAAGAAAGATTGAAATTATCAACAGAAGTTTCTTAATTATTTACTACAGTTTTAGATATTGTTAGAAAAGTAATGAAAATTTGTGAATTTTTAATGAAATTCAACAAATATTAGAATTATTAAGAGGATTCTCTTTACTAATCAATAATATTTCAGATATTATTAAAAAAGTAACAAAACTTTATGAATTTTTGTTGAAATTTAAAAAATATTGAAATTATTAACAGAATTTTCTTAATTATTTACTAAAGTTTCAGATATTGTTAAAACAGTAATGAAACTTTGTCAATTTTTGTTGAAATTTAAGAAATATTGAAATTATCAGCAGAGTTTTCTTAATTATTCAGTAAAGTTTCAGATATTGTTAAAAAAGTAAAGAAACTTTGTTAATGTTTGTTGAAATTTAAGAAATATTGAAATTATTAACAGAATTTTCTTAACTTCTTAGTGAAACTAAAGTTACAGATATTTTTAAAAAAGTAATGAAACTTTATGAAATTTTGTTGAAATTTAAGAAAGATTGAAATTATTAATAGAGATTTCTTAATTATTTACTACAGTTTCAGATATTGTTACAAAAGTACTGAAACTTTGTGATTTTATGCTGAAATTTAAGAGAGATTGAAATTATTAACAGAGTTTTCTTAATTATTCACTAAAGTTACAGATATTGTTTAAAAAGTCCTTACTTTTGTCAATTTTTGTGAAAATTTAAGAAAAATTTAAATATTTAAGAAAATTTTACTACAGTTTCAAATATTGTTAAAAAAGTACCTGAAACTTTGTGACTTTTTGTTGAAATCGTTTAATTGTTAAAACTTAATTCATTAGTTTCATTCGAACAAACGTATGTTTATATTTTGCATGCAAAACTGCTTCTAATTTGCAGTATTCACAATTTGTTTGAAGAATAAAAAAAATGTTAAATTTTGCAAAAAAAGATCCGTGCAAAAATCTGAAAGATACGTACAAAATTTCTAAGAAATTTGAACGATTTTGAAATTATACAAATCTAAAGTATTCCTTTCTATAAAATTACGTTTTCTTTTTACATTTATCAGAGAAAACATGGAAATTGTTAATTATTAACAAAAAAAAAAGTAGCATTCTTTTGAAATTTTTGAGTCCGTACAAAAATTATCTGCAAAACATTTCTTTTTGCAAACTAACATAAAAAATCATCATTTTATTTCTTTCTGAAACTCGTACAGCGAATAAACCTAAAACGTTGTTAGAAATATTACAGTTTTCGTTAAACTTTCGATGCGAATGAAATATAAAACTCTGCGTTGCAACATTTTAACATCTCTGCGATAATCTTATCCACGTTTTGTATATTTGTATTTGCAAGTGAAGAAAGTAAGTGAAGAGAAATTCAAATGAAGCAATTGAAGCACAAAAGAACGCGAAGAAACTAAACGTACAATAAAGCAGTATATGATAAAATCCGTGTTTTATGAAAAGTCTATTTGTACAATTTCATTGGACACGGACTTCCCCATATTCTGTTTGCAACAGCTGAAGAAAATTAAGATGAAAAAGGAAACTGCGATGAAGAGAAAATCGAAGTAGAAGTTGAAGAAATCCTCGTTGAACGAAATCCCCGTTTCGATAGTTTCAGTCAATTTGTATTTCTTCATATTCTACTTTTCAACAGCAGATTTATGGAAAGAACAATCCTCTTCGGTAAACAGTTGTGTAAGAACGAGGAAATTGCGATGAAAGAGGAAGAAAATGATGAGTTTCGATAATTTTATTGAATGTTAACTTCTTCATATTCTGCTTAAATAAAAAACAAAGTTTGAAAATGTTTATAATCGAGGAAAGCGATAAAATTGAGGCATATAATGAAAATTTTCGTGTTGAGTGAAATTGCGTATATTTTTCAATCTTCATGGAACTTTTCAAAGTTTGCTTTCGAGATCAGCAAAGAAAACTGCGATTCAAGAGAGAGAACAAGGTGAGGCAGATGTTGAAGAAGTCCTTTGTTGAGTGAAATTTCTGTTTCGATATTTTCAATCATCAAAGACTTTTTCCGCTTTTGACTGCAACTAAGAAGTGGAGAAAGAAAAATGGAAATTTCGGTGAAAAAATCGAGGAAATTGCTGAATTTATGAGTAGGAGAAGTATAGAGGCAGATCTGGAAGAAATCCGCGTTGAGTGAAATTTCCGTGTTTCGATATTTTCAGTCTATTTGGATTTCTTCTCAGTTTGCTTGAAAAACTACTATTGGCTTATAAGGATTGAATTTCATAATTTTGTTAACCTTTTCTCTTGTAAATAAAGAAAATGTTTTTAGGAAATTTTTCGATTTCTTTTTGTCAATATAAAATGTATAAATATAAAATGGAATTGAGTAAAATTTTTTGTGTGTCCAACTTCAAATATCTCCACGTTTTTTAGCCAGCTTATTCTCATCGCAACACATCTGTGATATAACTCTGCGCACATCGGCCCTCCGAACATCACATTTTTGCATAACGATGTACACGATGTCGTCAACCTTTTCAGCGTTCAACTTCCGTTTCGGTTTCCTTCCGGTGTCAAGCAGAGCGTTGCTGACGCATCCAGTCATACTGTGGGTTGCCATAGTATTTCTGGTGAAGAGAGCGTGCATCAACGCGCGTGTCGCCATCTTACGAGAATTCCAATTTATTGTGTTGAATTTCTCGGTCGGAATCGCACTTCCGTTAGGACCGAAACGAGTCAAAGTCATTTCCTCATCGTCAATTTTGTCTTCCTCTTCATCTCTTTGCTCAAATTTCTTAACAGGCAATATTTCTTCATATTCATCATCTGTATTTGCTGGAGGATCTACATCTACATGTAAAACTTGTTTTTTCTTTGTAACTAAAACTTGAGTGAAAAAACATTTTTTTTTTTTTTGATTCAATATATTAAAAATTTCTCAACTTACCACACTTTCGAGTTCTCTTTTCATTTCTACTTTCCTCTTTTACCTCAACAGGCAACATTTCTTCGTATTCATCATCCATATTTACTGAAGGATCTACATGTAAAACTTCTTTTTTGATTGCAACTAAAATTTGAGGGAAAAATCATTATTTTTTTTTTGTTCAATATATTAAAAAATTCTCAATTTACCACACTTTCGAGTTCTCTTTTCATTTCTACTTTCCTTTTTTACCTCAACAGGCAACATTTCTTCATATTCATCATCCATATTTGCTGGAGGATCTACATGTAAAACTTCTTTTTTGATTGCAACTAAAATTTGAGGAAAAAATCATTATTTTTTTTTGGTTCAATACATTAAAAATTTCTCAACTTACCACACTTTCGAGTTCTCATTTTATTTCTACTTTCCTCTTTTACCTCAACAGGCAACATTTCTTCATATTCATCGTCCATATTTGCTGGAGGATCTACATCTACATGTAAAACTTCTTTTTTGATTGCAACTAAAATTTGAGGGAAAAATCATTATTTTTTTTTGTTCAATACATTCAAAATTTCTCAACTTACCACACTTTCGAGTTCTCTTTTCATTTCTACTTTCCTCTTTTACCTCAACAGGCAACATTTCTTCATATTCATCATCCATATTTGCTGGAGGATCTACATGTAAAACTTCTTTTTTGATTGCAACTAAAATTTGAGGGAAAAATCATTATTTTTTTTTGTTCAATATATTAAAAATTTCTCAATTTACCACACTGTGGAATTCTCTTTTCATTTCTACTTTCCTCTTTTACCTCTTGCTTAATGGTTACTTTGTTTTGCTCCTCATTGGGAACATATGTCTGCTCGTTAAAAGTCTTAACATCATCTGAAATACAATGAAAAATAATCACTTTTTGTTCTATAAAATTAACATTACTAACTTACCGTTATTCCTATTAATAAAATTGAACTCGCAATAGCTCTGTTCGTTGTAGATAAAAGCTGCAATGAAAAATAAATGTAAGAATTAACAGAGATTATGATAACAGAAAGTTAAAACTTACCCATTTTAAATATTAGTCTATTTTGGGTTAAGTGCAAAATTCAAAACTATAGTAGACTTGTAACTGGTACAAGATCCAATGATGAATGGAATGATGATTTTGGGGCACTTTTTCGTCCTTTTTATACAAAAATGAAAGTCTAAAGACTACAAAAAAATACACATAAAATTCGATTTATTAAGAAAATTAGGAAGACAACAATGAAAAATAGTTTAACATGTTCAAATTTGATTTAATAAAAATAGTTAAAAAAAATCCAGAAAATTCAAAGCTAAACTTAATTTGAATAAGTCAAATTTGAGTTAGTGATGACATTGAAAAGTTCCAAAAAAATAATACTGGAAAAAAACTAAATTTAAATTTGTTAATAAATGTTAAATGAAAATACATGAGCATAATTCGAAATATTGAATCATAATCATAGAAATAAATCATGAAAAATCAAAAAATTAATTGCATTTTGTTACTAAATTTTATAAATTTAATGAAAATTTAAAAAAATATATATCGAAAAGTAAATGAATGTCTTTAATTTTGAGTTAATAAAGAGTTGTAAAATTAAAAATCGTCTTTTTAACTGATAGTATTATTATTTTTTTCATTTTTTTATCCTTTTTCTTGCCATTTCTTTGGTTTCGTTTTCATATTTTCATTTCAACATTTAAATCTCTCTCAACTGTAATGAACTTAAAAGTTATTACAAATATTTCGATGCAAATAAAATGGACATCGTAAAAAACAAGTTGACAAATTGTCAAAATGACAAGATGTCAAATTGATAAGCTTCGTTATTGAGGTTATTTTTGAAAAATATAAATATCTTATGAATTATGAATAGTCATTGTAAATAAAGGAGTAATGAAAACAAAACAACTTGATAAGTTGTCAAATTGACAAGTTGATAAGTTGTCAAATTGACAAGTTGTCAAGTTTACAAAATGTCATTAAATTAAATGTTTTTGGAAAATTTTATGTAAAAAGTGATTTCAACTTTGAAAGATATCTGAACTTGAATATGACAAGTTGATAAATAGTCAAATGGATAGCAAATTGAATGTTTTTGGAAAATGTTATATAAAAAAAAGTAATTTTAACTGTAGAAACTAACTGAACTCTATAAATCATTGCAGATATTTCGTGAGAATAAAAAGGAATAATAATACAAGAACAAAACTTGATTAGTTGTCAAATTTACAAAATGATTGTCAGCTAAATAATTTTGGAAGATATTATATAAAAAAAGAAAGTGATTTTAACTGTAGAAACTAACTGAACTCTATTAATCAACTCATAAATCATTGCATATATTTCGATGAGAATAATAATACAAGAACAAAAGTTGATTAGTTGTCAAATTCATAAGTTGATAAGTTGTCAAATTGACAAGTTGTCAAATTTACAAAATGATTGTCAGCTAAATAATGTTGGAAGATGTTATATAAAAAAGAAAGTGATTTTAACTGTAGAAACTAACTGAACTATATTAATGAACTCATAAATCATTGCATATATTTCGATGAGAATAAAAAATAATAATACAAGAACAAAAGTTGATTAGTTGTTAAATTGACAAGTTGATTAGTTGTCAAATTCATAAGTTGATAAGTTGTCAAATTGACAAGTTGATAAATTGTCAAATTGACATGTTGTCAAATTTACAAAATGATTATCAACTAAATAATTTTGTAAGATATTATATAAAAAAGTGATTTTAACTGATATTAGTGATATCTGAAATTAAATATTCTTGGAAAATATTATATAAATAAAGTACTTTTAGTCAACTTACAAGTTATTGTAGATATTTCGATAAGAAAAAGAGGTGTAATAAAAAAAAACGACTTCACAAGATAAAAAGTGGTGAAATTAACAAATCGTCAAATTGATAGTAAACAGAACTACATTAAATATAAAACTTATTGTAGATGAGAAAATAAAATGGATTGAAAAAAATACGTACATACATAAAAAAAATAATTTGGTGCAAATAGAAATTTTATTTATAAAAATATAACCAAAATACAAATATATTTATTGAATAAAAAAAACACACACACAAATAAAAACAAAAATTTAAACATTCAGATGTTGTTTATAACTTGACTTTGTCCGTTTTTTAATTTCCTCGCCTGTCTCAATTCAACCAAACATTTGTTCCTGATGATGCGTCGAATCGCGAACACCTCTTTCACGCCGCATCTCTTCGAGACGATCGAAATCAGATCCTCGACCTTCCTGAAGTCCAGCTGCGGTCTCGGCTCCTTCATCAATTTATCATTGATGAAAGTACGTCTTCCCGTTAAACTGTGCGTAGCTAACATATCTCTGGTGAATATAATCCGGAGCAATTGGCGCGTCGCAAAAACGTAACTGCTCCATTTTATAGTTTCGAACGCTTCAGCAGTAATTGAAGTTTGATACTTGCCGAATCTGACTAATCCATTCTCCCGAACTACATCATCATCATTGATATGATTATTATCATTGTGCTTAACATAATCATCAACGTCAGAAGATGATTCGTCAATTGCGTAACTCTTGCGTTTCGCTGCTTCCCTTTGCGGTCTCTGGACAGTTCTTTTGCTGGCTTTAACCGGAAGGTTAACTTTAACGACAGATTTCTTCTTTTTAACAGGAGCTTCCTTATCAAGAGGATCTTTCGTAGCAGTAACTGGATGGTTAACCTCAAGTTCCACGTCTTTCTCATAGACGGACTTTTTCTTAATGACAAACTTTTTCTTTTTAACAGAGACTGCCTCATCAACACGATCTTTTTCAAGAGCTACTGGAAGGTTAACCTCATGCTCCACGTCTTTCTCAACGATGGACTTTTTCTTAACGACAAACTTTTTCTTTTTAACAGAGACTGCCTCATCAACACGATCTTTCTCAACAGCAACTGGAAGGTTAACCCCTGGTTCCACTACGGACTTTTTCTTAACGACAAGCTTTTTCTTTTAACAGAGACTTCCTCATCAAACAATCTTTCTCAAAGCTACTGGAAGGTTAACCTCATGTTCCACGTTTTTCTCATCGACGGACTTTTTCTTAACGACAAACTTTTTCTTTTTAACAGAGACTTCCTCACAACACGATCTTTCTCAAGAGCTACTGGAAGGTTAACCTCATGTTCCACGTCTTTCTCATCGACGGACTTTTTCTTAACGACAAACTTTTCTTTTTA